TCAGGAGCCACATGCAGCTCGTAGAAAATGTGGTGCCAGATCTTCTCCATGTCGTCCTAGTTGGTGACAATGCCGTGCTCAATGGGGTACTTCAGGGTCAGGATGCCTCTCTTACTCTGGGCCTCATCACCCACGTAGGAGTCCTTCTGACCCATGCTCACCATCACGCCCTGGTGCCTGGGGTGCCCCAAGATGGAAGGGAAGACGGCCCGGGGAGCATCGTCGCCCACGAAGCTGGCCTTGCACATGCGGGAGCTGTTGTCGACAACAAGTGCAGCGATATCATCATCCATGGTGAGCTGGCGGCGGGTGTGGATGGGCGGCGGAACGGCAAGGGCAAGGCTCTGTGCTCGCAGGGTGGACACGGTCTTAGCGGTCAATCTTATAATATTTTAAGAAAGTTTATGAATTTGTATTGGGCCACATTCAAAGCCATCCTGCCAATATGGCTCACGGGGCGTGAGTTGGACAAGCTTGTTTAAAAACATACTAAAGAAAATATTCTATTTGTCAAGCATTCTTGTTAACAAAAAATTTTTTTACCAAACTTCTTTCAGTGACATCTCTTAAGAAATTCTGCTCACTAATGTTTTAGAATTCTATATTCATAATTAGAAAATACCAATATGCTCCCGTCATCCATGCAATAATAAACCTGTATTTCACAGTGTTATTAAATAGAGCTTACCTGATATCTAGACCTATTTGGCAAATGTTAAGCTCAGCGTATGCTGACTTTTCTGCTAATGGCTGTAATAAAAGTTATTTTTACTCTACATAGTCAAGACAAAAATGCTAAAATATTGGGATTCTGCCAAGATGACCAAATAGAAACAGCTCCAGCGTGTGAGAGAGACGCAGAAAGCAAGTAATCTCCGCATCTCCAAATGAGGTACCAGGTTAATTTCAATGGGACTGGTTGGACAGTGGGCATAGCCAAAAGAGGGCAAACCAAGATGGGGCGGGGCACTGTTGGTTTGTGTCAAATGCACACCCGGGAAGTGCATTCGACTGGAGCATCAGGGGCTTCCCCCCTCTGGCACACCAGTGCAGATACTGTGCTTCACCCAAAGTCTCTGCAACCCATAGACCAGGAGATCTGCACTGGGCTGAAAACCACCCGAGTTACCTGCACAGAGCTGAATAGCAGCCCTGGTTGGTGCCGCAGATTGTTGGCACAGATCTAGGTGGATGCCTTGGCAGGGAGGGAAAGTCTGCAGGACAGAGCTACTGGTCCCCTGGAGAGAGGGGGTGTTAAAAGCAGGGAGACAGGCAATAAGATAGGGGGGTCCCTCCTCCACAAAGCCCAGCAGGCTGAAGCCCTCTCACTTGAGGGTTTCACAGCCAGCACATCAGTTTGAGCCAATATGCATGATGAACATCGATGCAAAAATCTTCAATAAAATACTGGCAAAGCAAATGCATCAAAAAGCTTATCCACCATGAACAAGTAGACTTTATCCAGAGGATGCAAGGCTGGTTCAACATATGCAAATCTTATAAACGTAAACCATCACATAAACAGAACCAAAGACAAAAACCATATGATCATCTCAATAAATGCAGAGAAGGCTTTTGACAAAATAAAAGTCCTTTATGCCAAAAACTCTCAATAAACTATGTATTGATGGAACATATCTCAAAATAATAAAAGCTATTTAAGGCCAGGCGCAGTGGCTCACGCCTGTAATCCCAGCACTTTGGGAGGCCGAGGTGGGCAGATCACGAGGTCAAAAGATCGAGACCATCCTGGCCAACATGGTGAAACCC